GCGGTTACAATTCACAAATGCCAGGGCCTCAGCTTAAATAGCGTAATAATTGATATTGGGGAGTCCATATTTACATGTGGCCAATCATATGTTGCCTTGTCACGAGTGACTTCATTAGAAGGGCTTCATCTTATTAACTTTAACCCAAGAGATGTGAAGCCTCAGAAATCCGCCATTCTCGAATACAACAGACTAAGGCAGAAGTACAGGTCTGACCTTCCACTTTACAACACAAGTTGTGACTCCTCTTCGGCTCCTTATGTGAGAGACAGGAAGTGGTGCCAGACCAAAAATGTCAAAAAAGTGCAGGATGAGAGTACAAAACCGGTACCCTCTGCAAAGACTACCGGAAGATCGAGAGTTCAGTCAACTTTAGCATTAAAATTTATTTTTTTTTTCAGAGAAAAGAGTATTTTTATTTGAACGGTTAATTTTCTACAAAAATAAATAAAATCTAACAAAAAACCACTAAGTGGTAACACTTTCCCCGCCAAGTCAGCAATCCAAAAAAGATAATAAATCATTACTTTTTCCGCCAAGAAAAACAATGTAATGTATGTAAGTTTGGCAACTTGGCGGCAGACTTTTGCTTGGTTTTTTTTCATTTAAGTTACGTTCGTGGATAATTTCACAAATCAACTTCTCTAATTAATTAGTCCAACTAAGTATAATAATTTCGAGGTAATCAGTAAATATAAAACCATCACTATTATGATTTTATGAAATGTGGCACAAATAAGGTCAAGTTTTGTAAAATAAGCTCTCACCTAGCAATGTACTAATGGGAGAGATACTTGCTCAATGAAACTAGTTTTATGGTATTTTTAAAGTGATCGAGCAAAAGTCTGCCGGCAAGTTGCCAAACTTACATACATTACATTGTTTTTCTTGGCGGAAAAAGTAATGATTTATTATCTTTTTTGGATTGCTGACTTGGCGGGGAAAGTGTTACCACTTAGTGGTTTTTTGTTAGATAATAATATATAAACGTTGTATAATAACAAAATATTTTTTAAATTATAACCTGTTTTCTCACACCTGTTTTCTCATGCTTATAGGGCTGGGTTCTACCCGACTGACGCGCGCAAATGCAAAGGGTTTAGTTCTTAGGCCTGCTGTTTGTGGCCCCAATTGTGAACAGCTTTAAAAGATCTTGGTGTCATAAAATGTTATTGTAGGTTTGCCATTTTATATTTACGTTTAATACTGTTTACGTATGAAGGCATCTCGGCTCCTATAATAGCCAGTTGTTCCTCCAAATAGATTTTTTATACAAATTACTGATACATAAAAGATAATCATAAATCTTTGAAAACAGCAGTCATTTTATTAAATAATTTGAACGTTTGGATAAAGCTGCAAACCTGATAAAGTATGTCTTATTTTTGAACACAATTATTGGTAACCTAATTTTATTGCAAACATTACCAAGATTTGTTAAATTTTTTGTTAACATAATTGCATTTTTCCGATGCAATGTATTCACTAATAGTGTATTATTCAAAATTCAATGACAATTGAGTAACTTTAAACTTTAGTATAAAATGAATTTAATTGCAAGTCCACAACCTTTTATACAATATCAGTAAATACCCTGTACAATTATAATAATTTATGTACCAATCATAATGACGCAACGTCATGCTATTGTTTTGGGGCTCGTCGACCGCGAGCAGCGGCATGGCAGATGGCTGTTGCCAACCTCCCAACGAAAATTCCCAGTTAATCCCTGCTCTTGATCGACGGCCAGCGTTGGTCTCGGCTAAGCTTGATCTCGGCTAACGCTCTATGTCGTGAACCCATTTTTTGACCGTCGGTTAAAATTGGTCGAGATCAACGATAACCGCGGGCCACGAAACCCCGTACTCGTGAACCGCCTCTAAAAGTTAATGTTAATAGGTTTATCAACAGGGTGCAGCACTATTAATTGTTTAAATTTATGTCAACAGCTAATTTGTGATACATGGAATGGATGAATTTTTTACAGTTATGTTTATGTGGCCAGTTTATATTAATAGGTAGTAAATTAATAAAAAAATCTATCTATATACAGCAGATCTAACATAATAATTGTTCTCTTTAGTGTTCTCAAGCTGCTTTCCATTATTTTCAAGGAACCAAAATTGACTCTTCTTTCATCTTGACCCCAAAATTGCACCTTGAACCCGTTGCAAGGCACGGGTATAGCGGCTAGTAATGTTATAAATATTTATAATATACAACATACACAAATATTATACCCAGGGCCGGATCTAGGAACCGCAAAACCCCGCAATGCAGGGGGGCCCAAGCCCTTAGGGGGCCCAAAGAGCTCTATAATTTAAAATTATTTTAATGCATATAAACATAATTGAATAGGACGGTAAGTTTAGTTTTGACAGACAAATATTGTCAATATCAAAGCTAAAGTTACAATTATTGAGTAAATTTAGACCTACTGATTTTACTCGTCAACAACTCGGGACCTCGCCGTAGACAGTTTAATCTGTGGTTTACTGTCACTTTCAGTCAGTCCAGTCTGTATGCTCAGCTCAGTCCAGTCAGCTCGTCAGCTGCAGTGCACGCTTCACAGATCCACTACAGTCCGATCGACGTGGACGTAGTGTCAACTTAGTCAACTATCAGTTGAGCTGAGCAATAAGTCTGTAGTACAGGCGGGACTTATAATAACCTCTGTAGCGTTATCTAACGACCTCAGGGCCAGAGAGAGCCGTCACGGGCCTCTGAGCTGAGCGATCTCCGGCCCCCTATTTTCCCGATTTAGTGTCTAGCCGCCTCCGTGCCGTTTTGTTAAACATTTAACAATATATCTAAAACGCATAATAGTTTGATTAATTCTCTTGCTCCTAGTTGCAACTTTATTCCACTCAAAAATTAATATGTGAACTGAAAAACCATGCTAAAATCTTTGATTTTAGCAGATTACATGTACAGAAAATATTTCACAATTCACATTTGACCAGGCTGGGCCCCCTTCAGAGCCCAGGCAGGGCCCCGGGGCTTTGGCCCCTCTGCCCCACCCTCTGGAACCATGATTTGTATGTAGGCCTATCTATCTTGAAAATATACAAGTAGTGTAAAAAGAAACTAAGTTTAAATTGAGTCGTTTGTTTATTATTATACATTATTATTTATTCTTGAAATTGTTTATGTAAAACCTTTTACTTTTTTTGTACAATATGTATTTTATAATTTGTAAACCTATTTGAAAGGCTAAGAAATCCTATTGACATAAGAATAAAAAAGCTTTATTTGAAGTTTGCTGTTTTTTTTTTAGTACATAGCCTAATTTTACAAAATTCCGCATTTTAACGAAAATGTTTTTTACAAACAGGATCAATATTTTATCTTTAAAATAGCGTTAAAATTCAGTTTCAGCTACACACATTTTAAACATTCCCCCCCCCCTCCCGCAAATAAGGCCTCCCTGCTATTGATGCCAGCTCTAAGGGCCCTTGGAGGATTTTTGCAGGGGGGCCCATATTTTGTAGATCCGGCCCTGATTATACCCTAAGAGTTGTTGATGTTATGGAATGGAGGGGGTTCAATACAATTACTAATCAGGTAATATATAACTGATTCACATTTCTTAGTATGCAATGACTCTGATACTAGGAGGATTAAACATTAAAGAGAGGACAGGCTGTAGTTTCGTTGAAGCCAGCGTACTGGGGAGGAGAGGGGTGGAGGGGAGGCAGCGCTACTCTCCCGCCCCCCTCTCATACTGCGTTGTATGGGTTACTGCGAGATTTGGTAACAGAAATATCAATTAACTATTTAAAAATTAGACTACATCATGCTACAAAAATTTAAAAATTAAATTCTAACCGTAAAATTAGGAACTTATTGAGAGGAAAGTCATATTTATGAACCAATAGTACGTTCAAAGGTGAGTAATTTACACAAAACTCAAATCATGAGTTCAAATACACATACAGTACAATATATATAAATTAGTATGTGTATTTGAACATTTTTTTTTAAGAGAAATAAAATAAGTTTTAATCCTTTAAAAGAATGATAAACGCACTTTGGCACCAGAAGACGCGATAATCACTGAGTACACTTTTTACTCGAAGTTTCTTTGGGCAAACAGATCAAATATAGTACAATATAATATTGCAAAGTCAAGAATTTGATTGCCAAGAAATTGTTTAAATTTTTATATTTGTAATTCCTAATTGTAGCGGCTGTTGGTGTAAAAAAAGTTAGAGCGGCTTTGTATTTTTTCTTAACTTTTGCTATTTAAAATCACCTGCCTAGCACATAAATGCCTTAAAACTAGTAAAAAATTGTATTAACAAATCGAGAAAACTATGAAAAATACAAATTTAAAACGTATTTCACCACCCGAATGAAATTTTTTATTTTAACCTATAATTAGTAAGATTGTTTTGTAAACAGAAAAAATAAAAAAAACTATTGTAATTATTTTTCTAAATATCAATTTTAAATATAGGTAAATACTAAATATTTTTTATTTTGAGAAACTCTTAAGGAACACAAATAAATTGTTAATTTGTATAGATACATCAATTTTTGTTTTTAAAAACGTCCAGGCTAATTCTTTCAACTTTGATCTACAATAATAAATAATAGTTTTTATAGAAATGATTGACACCTTTTGATAGGAAATTGAATTTACTTTAAGAATGCCATCGGTGAACAAGACAGGCGTTTTAGCTTAGTAGCAATTTTAATTCGAAACAGCGCACGTCGTGTTTTTTCCTATCCCTCCCATGTTATAGCCGGGGCTTTTTGCCACTCTACAGATCCGCGTGCCCCTCTAGTGTTCTGCTAAAGCTGGCTTCACCGCAACATGTGTATTCCTATTCGCGTGCCCTCTCCTTAATGTTTAATCCTCCTAGCTCTGATAGTACCTTACTTTTACTTATTCCTCGTATACATTTCACAATCAAATACTTACCATTGTGAACAGTAGTTTTTACCTCAAGTCAAATATTTGCACACAAGAGAACTATAAATTGGTAGAGTTTTACCTGGTTAGTGTAGGACGAATGCTGATGTTGTTTTCTTTGATGTCATCAATCACTCTTGGAACCTCAAGATTTTTGTTGGCTTTCAACTTGTCACAAGCAGCCAGAGTATCCTTCAGCACCTCAAAAAGCTCATCTGAAAAATATCAACATTATCAAGTGTTTGTTAACCAGTTAATTTTTAATTGTAGAATAAGGAGGATAGCAGCTGGCTTACCCTGAAGAAGTGTAGTTAGGCCATTGAACATACAGAAGAGAATCATCAATAATCAATATCATAACACTTTTCTTCTTCTTGATAAAGTCCCTCATGGGACGAAATATTGTGTTCAGTTTCTTTTCAGTATTTGCTATGGCCTACCTGCACTTCTTCAAGGTAAGCTAGCTGCTATCCGCCTTATTCTACAAATCAATATCCTAGCCTAGAGCCTTTCCTTGAACAAAACTAATGTCAACCAGGTAATTAATAAATGATCTATAAAAATTAAAAAAAACTTTCAAATAGTCTTCAAATTTTATCAAAATTGGACCACAGGTTCTGTACACATTACTTCAAAAACCACTTTTTATGGATTCAGTCAAGTTGTAACTAAGTGTGAAAAATAGTTGATTAGATATTGATACTCACTGACTCCACCCTCTGGAAGCTCTATGTTTTTCAGTTTCAACTGATTCTGACTCGATTCCATCTTTTCGGTCACTGTTTCTAAATACTCCTTGAAGTTGGTATTATCCGCAGTTTCTGAAAAAAGTCATATTACCCTTAAACCTAGTTGTCTCGTAAAACAAGGTCCTACATTTTTCTTCATTTTACTGTAACTTAGTTGTATAATTGACTTTTAGATACTGAAGAAGACATCCCATCACATTTTGTGCAAGGCAAAAATGTGCACAAAAATAATGCAATTTTTTTCTAAGAGCTTTGACAAAATTAGTTGTCCTTGTAACAAATGATTTTTTTTTAATTTTTTTTCTAACTTTATACGATAGTACTGTATATGTACAAAAAGTAAGTCTTTATCTACAGAACTTGCACATTTTATTGTTTATTATAACATTTTCTATTTTATATATAACATAAATAATACAGTAGACTCCCTCTTATCCGGACTCCTTGGGACCGAGGCCAGTCCGGATAACGGTTTTTCCGGTTAGCCGACATCCCCAAAAACTCATTAAAATGGACCGTTTACGGTGATATTCGACTTAAATTTAGGAGAGCATTGCTAACTTAGGGGTTGTATTTAGACATGTGATCACTGGTCTCAAATCTTTCCCACGAGAACAGTCGTTACAGTACCACCCACTTCCTGCCGATCTAGTCCGGTTAAACCAATGTGCCGATAATAATTGTCCGGTTAAAGAGATGTCATTTCCGTCGACTGTAGTCCGGTTAAACCGATGTCCGGTTAAAAGGTGTCCGGATGAGAGGGAGATTCTTTAAGTTAGTAAGCAGTATCTTTATTTGCCACGATTGAAATTGTGACCGGGGGCGTAACTGGGATCGATTTAAATAATAAGAATTCTTTAGTGAGAGGTAAAAGAATGTTTAATCGTTATTCAAATAAAGTGGATGGACAATATGATAAAGATAATAATAAAGACAATAATAAAAATGGATGATAAAATAATTACAGGCTCCTTTTATTTAAGTAGGCCTAAGCAAATGAAATTTATATATCAAACTCTAATAATTATAATTCTTTTTGACACGTTAATATATTCAAACAGGAATTTAATAGTCACTATATTTATTCACACAAATTATAAATGAAATCAATTATTATAAAATTGATTACGATTAGTATCAATCAATCACTGACTTTAAAAGGTTAAGTTAGCCTGGACAATCACAAAAATTATAAAGTTGAAATATTAATAAAGTAATCGCCTTACCAAAAACCCGGAGACCGGCGAAGTGTCCCCGTGGATGACTGGGGCCAAGTGTCTTCCTTTCGGTCAACGCCGACCTCAGTCTCTCCAAAGTACAATTGCTAAGTCTACGGTTTTTGTGGGTAGGTCGATTGAGCAAGCTACGTGTCATCAAGAATTCTGTCTACTAAATGCCAATGTTCTGACACTGGTATATGCATTGTGAAATCCATTTACCAGGTCTTTTACTTTTGAAATATAATCCCAAAATTTAGAAAATAATTTTTGGTGACTACCCGTCACACTACTGTAGCGTAATAACTCTTTTCTTACAGTTTTATTGATATTGTAATGTTTTATACTCCTCATTGTCTGGTTTTTGTATTCCCGGAGGTAACTTCCGTGAGTGCCCTTTGGCGTTTGAGAATCAATGTGCCTGACGGAAGGTTAAGCAAATCAGACTTTGAAAAAAAAACAACAATATTGAAAAACTTACCCAAAACACGACCATAATTAGGGTTTTTCAATTTATACAGCATTTCAACTTCTTTATTAAAGGTTATATTTTTCAGCCTCTCTGTTGTTTTCTGTAAAACATCTTGGTCTTCTGTGATTCTTTTTTGCATGGATGCAAGTTTATTCTGAAAAGAATAAACTTTAATTATAAAAATGTCTTAAACTAGTAAAATATATAAAGTAGCTTACCTACAATTTTGTTTTGAGCGAATTTCCTGTATAGAGATTATTAGTAAACTTCTAGGGTATACACTATTACCTTAGATTTTAGGGTTAAACCTAGACCCCGGACCAATTTACTTTTTTGTTTAGATATCCAAAGAGGCCAAAAAAACCATCCGATCAATTTCATATATATGTGCCCATTAGGATGTTTTCCTATTTTAGTACCGCAACACATAAAATGTTTTAATATCTTTCCAAACCATTTTGTAGAGCTTAAAACCCAATTTTGTTGGAATAATGAATAAATTTTTATTCAATTCTTATGGAGAATCATCAAACTGTTGTAGTTTGCTTGTTCATAAGATATATATTCATAAAATTTAGTAAATTCCTTTATTTAATCTTGTACAGTAAAGGCCTACTACAAAACTGTTGCAAAACTTATGACAGCTAGCCTGACCACACTACTGGACCGAATTTCACACGGTTTGTACCAAATGAAAGATATTTTCCTCTAGATGCGCAGAATCTCTTTATAAATTAAAATAGACTCAAAAATAAGCAAGAAAAATGAATTTGAAATGTAAAAAAAAAACATGGGCCTTAATGGGTTGCCATGTTGGTGACAAAATAACAACAAAATATAAACAGAAAATCCAAACAAATTCCAATCACATGTTATATTTACAGCGTGGGGTGAAAATAGAGAAGTTTGCATAATATGTTATTTTGGTCAAGTTTTAGACTACGAGGCGAGCTCTAGTCTATTATATTTCACAAAAAGAGAAAAAAACAACATTATTACCCTCCCTGTAGCAGCTAATCTAAGTTCTTGGTAAAGATAATGTTATTCACATTGAGGATCAATCCGACAAGTTAAAGGATATACTTAAAGGAGAAAATCCAATCAGGCAAATGGAAATTCACTTAGGCTTCAGGTTTGCTGCGGCGGGGTTATTGTTTATGCTTGTAAGATTTGTGATTTCTTCACGATTGGCAACAAGGCACAGCACCAAACTCTAGAGACATGACCAACAAGATGGTTTTTGTAGATTATATTTTGTATGATGTTGTCTGGTCTAATTTAATGACAGTAGAACTAGATACAATCAATGATGGGCCTAGTATTGTAATGTAACGTAGTATGGTTTTTTCCTCACAGACTCATATCAACACTAAAATCAGGAACTAAATAGGGAATATATGTTGTGCTTTATCTTAATTTTATACCAATTCAATTGACAGCAACAAGAAAAAACTGCTTAGGACCCAAGCACTAAGCGATGTTCACAAATCTGACCTATAATAAATTAAACTACATAATTTAACAATATTATGGCAAAATCCTCTGATAAATCGTCACCCTTTAAGGGAAATATTGCTGAATACATTTAAGCTACTTACATTCACTTGGGAAACTTTAGCTTCTGCTAGTTTCCGTTTGAACATGGTCTGTATGTACCTGGTGTACTCAAAGTCCAGTTGATCAGCAAGACTAATGTCATTGTCGGAATTCTGCAACAATGTTACTTTTACTTCAATGCATTCTTTTGCCCTTGAACCACAATCTACATCTACGTCTTAAATCATTATGCCATAAGGAATAGTAAAAATAAGTATGTATTACAATTAGAGACGGTTCATTCTACGATTTATTCATTTTTAGCATGGATAAAACACACTCCCTTAGTAGATTTCCCATTCTTGAACAGCTGAAGCCAATTTTATCCTTAGTTCTGTAAGTTGCACTGTAGAGGTTGTGTATTTACAATTAGTTTCTTGTTATTTCAGTTATTTAAAACCTCGTTTAACAAAAAAAAAAAAAAAAAAAAAAAAAACAATCTTAATAAACAATACGTGGTGGTCTTCTAGTTAGATAACCAAACAGTAAAGCATAAATCATGAAAATAACCAGGAATAAATTTAACTCCTGAGACAAAGACATGAAAAGTACATAAATGAGATTAAAAGACTTACTTCAAACTAATAATAACATCACTTTTGATAAAAAATTGTATATCTTTAAACTCACATATTGAATTGCAAAACGAATATGTTTCCAAAGTTTTGGTGCTTTATGTAAAACTAGCTGTAACCCGCGGGCTTTGCCCCGTTTAACTTCTTAATTTTCAAGATTATCTCGTTCGCATGGCTCAATCACGTCCTGGTTGAAGTTTGTTCGCTACGCTCACTCGCCTTTAGGTTGGACCTCGTTCGCTACGCTCACTCACCTTTAGTTTGGAGCTCGTTCGCTACGCTCACTCACCTTTAGGTTGGAGCTCGTTCGCTACGCTAACTCGCCTCCAGGTTGAAGTTCGTTCGCTACGCTCACTCACCTTTTGGTTGCAAATTAGCTGTTGTCATAAATGTAAAAGAAATAATAGTGCTGCACCCTGTTGGTAATCCTTGTAACTTTAATGCTATTGAACATCATAGAACAGAACCAACTTGTTTAGTTGAAACAGCTGTTAAGATTCAATAATTCCATTTCTCATAAGGTTAACATGGGAAACTCCAGAGCCACTGGGGCGGAGCCCGAAAGGATTTTTGAAATAAGAATATGCCTATATGTTAATCGGGAATGTGAGCTATCATCATGCCAAATTTCAGCCCAATCCGACCAGTATTTTTCGCGTTCACTTGTCACAAACATACATCCATACATCCATACATCTATACATCCAAACTTTCTCATTTATAATATTAGTAGGATCACTAATCTATACTTATTTAATACGCAAGCATGATTTTTGTGACAATTACTCCTCCGAAACTACTGAACCGATTTACATGTTTTTGGTGTCATTGGAAAGAGCGTAACGTGAAGTTGTGCAGGAAACTTTCTTTTTAGGGAAATAATTAGAGAGTGAGGCCCTGGGGCCCTTCAAAGTTTTGTATTTCTCCATAAGATTAACATGGGAAACAAACATTGTTATTAAACTACAGCTGTTGTCAGAAATGCTGTTCTGCTATTTAATTTAATTTGTTTACAAGGAGAATGGTTTTTTGGTGCCATGTGGTCAATGAACTATACTTTCGCATATATTTTAAATGCTATACACTATATAAAATGATAGTACTGTAATACATTAAGAGATCTTAGTTTAAATAATCAATAAGCAGGATTGAGCTTTTGCCTACATGTTTCCTGGTAAGTGTGTTGTAACTGTTTCTCATAGTATTATAGTATCTTGCAGTAAAACCGAATTTTTCTTTTCTGCATTCTCACCCCGTAGCGAAGCACGGGCAGAGCAACTAGTAAAATATAAAAACTCAGGAACATTAAAAAACCATTGTATTTAGCTCAGCATCATAAAAACAATACAAAACAAAAATAGTAAACACACTTATTTTAAAGTCAGCTGATAAATAAAATTTACAAAGAGTAATCCAAGACATTACACATATTCCCCCTTAAAAAAAAATCACATGCTCTTCTTTTTGAAAAATACGTCTATTTCTTAGTTATGTCTGCTTCTCAGTTGATCGGCGTGCCGCCGGTATTTCCTTCCTTCTTGAATTACAATATATGACACGGGACCAGTCCTTCTCAAAATTACTCCTTCTTCACACGGATTGTTTTGTTGTTTTACCCAACGATGTAAAAACTACTGGATTGCGCTCTCAGTAGCACTGCGGGCGCTGTTTTCGGTCTAGCTCCCCCCACCATCTACTGGCAGTAGCCGACGCAGCCCATACACTCACCATTGTAAAACGCACCTTTTTAAGTTGCTGCTCTGTTTAAATATATAGATGTAAAATATTGCTAATGCATGCCAAACACTTTTTACTATTCTAAACTTCATGTCTTTTTCTTTTCTTGCAGAAAATAAGACATTTGAACTCTTAAAAACCCTACTACATTTGTCCAGTTTTTACCGCAAATCTATGCTTCACATTAACGTGATAAGCATACTTTTTTATGACCTATTTTGTAAGATACATTGTCATTAAACATTGAAAGAAAAAAATATCGCGTTTACGTCAAACATAACGTTACCACTGCGGCAAAAACTTAGCAAAATTATTCTAAATGTTTATGTACTATTTTTTCGATTAATAAAATAGAATTTCAATTACAAATATTGTACTTTCTATTTCTCTTTTGTAATCACTTATTATTTAACCATTTACAATTTGGAACTAGCAATATCAGTTGTCTAAAAGCATCTACAAAAGGGGTTTAGTGAATTTGTAGTTTTAAAGAATTCAGATGGGTTATTTTCTGCAAGAAACAAAACAGACATAAAAGGTTTAACTAGTAAAAAGAGTTTTACAAGTGTTAGCAATATTTTATCCCTATAAATTTCAACAGAGCAGCAAATAAAAAGTGTATTTTATAATGGTGAATGTATGGGCTGCGCCGGCTTCTGCCAGTCAATGGTGGGGGAAGCTCGACCGCGCGGCCAACACTGAGCCAGCGATCCATGAGTTGTGTATATCGTTGGTTTTACCCACACTGGATCGCCTGGTTGAAACTCTCTCCATTTTGCATGTAAGTCGTGGTTCTTTTTCTGTCTTACCAAAGCTTCATCGATGTTTGCCATCATATCTAGTTTAAGAGTACTGAGTTTGCACCTCAGTTGTCTACCATACAACATTTCAGCTGGTGTTTTGCCAGTAGTTTGGTGTGGTGTGGTTCGGTATTTAAAAAGGAAAGTTTGAAGTCGCTTGGATAGAGTGAGTCCATCTGCTTTTGATGCTCCAAAACGTCTTTTGAATGTCTGAACATATCTTTCAGCTAATCCGTTTGATCTTGGGTGGTACGGAGCTGTAGTTATGTGTCGAATGTTGTTATGTGAGCAAGATCAAGTGTCTGTGCTATGGCTTCTGTTGTGAGTGCTGAGGTTGGTCAAAATCAGAATGAGGTGCCCTCATTTTTAAACTCAAAAATCAGCCAATTATTGGATCCAATGTAAATAGTAATACGACTCACTGTTTTCAGACATCTATTGTAAATAATATTTTTTGTAGTAGGGTAGAAAGTACTTTTAACAATGAGAATTCTTTATTGAAACTTCAGAGATCAGTTCATGATATGTTTATGCATATGAACATTCAAGGCTTAAATCCAGGTAAAGTGGCTGATTTAAATATGTTTCTATCACAGTTTGGACGTAAAATTAAGATTTTTGCACTAAATGAGCATTGGATCAATGAGGACTCATTTAATATTTTTAACACCTTTGATCATTTTAATTTGGGAAATGTGTTTATAAGAAAAAATAATAAAAAAGAGGAGGTTCTTGTATATTAGTGCATAAAGAATTTAACTTTAAAACAAGAGCAGACCTGGAAGTATTAAATGAGGATTTCATTTTTGAAGGTTCATTTGTTGAAATTGTGGGAATGAATTTACTAGTGGTATCAATTTATACAGTTCCAGAATATAACATAAGAAAGCTTTTCCTCACTAAACTAGAACTTTTAATGAATCAATTAAAAAATGAAAACAAAACTAAATCTATCATACTGGCCTCTGATTTCAATATAGATATTCTCAAAAGTAACAACTTAATTTCAAAATTCTATGATATTATTGAATGTAATGGATTTAATCTAAACTTCAATGAACCAACAAGAATATCAGGTAACTCTCGCACTTGCATTGATAACATTGCGACTCAAACAAAACTCAAGGTTATCTGTAAATATAATATTGGTCTTTGTGTATCTGACCATAATGCACTGTTTATAAATCTACCTAACAAATTGATAAATGACAACAACAAAAAGGTTTTTTATAAAAGAACTTTTAGTGAAAATGCTATGAACGAATATGTAAAAACTTTTGAAATTGACAAAAGTCAATTATGTTTGGATAATTGTAATGTTAATGATAGTTACAACCATTTTTTGAGGTATTTTATGGGGCAGTTGAATCATTATTTCCCACTAAAGGCTGTAAAAAAGAAATCTAAGATAAAAACTGTTATATTGGATTGGGTAACAACAGGTATCAAGGTTTCTAGCAAAAGAAAGCGTGAGTTGCATTGGCAAGCCAAAACCAGTACAGACCCAATTTTTCTTAACTATCTAAAGTCTTATAAAAAGATATTTCGTAAAGTTGTAAACAGTTCTAAAAAAAGGTCTAACAGCAAATATATAAATAATGCATTAAATAAACCAAAAGCTATGTGGAAAGTTGTAAATAACGAATTAGGCATTAGAAAAGAGGATACTTGTGGCAATCATATTTCATTAAAAGTCTCTAATAATAAATTAATTGAAGACCAAAATGTTGTTGCCAAAACTTTTAATTCTTTTTTTTTGAATGTTGTTAATAGCTTAAACTTGCCAAATCCTATTGTAAAGGGTGTCCATCCAAATATGAAAATATCTGTGGATATAAAGGGGTGTTCACTGTACAACTTTGAACCAACCAACAAAAATGAAATTTTAAAAATAATATTTTCTTTGAAAAATAAGACATCGGTGGGTTGGGATGAAGTCCCCATTTCACTCATCAAAGCAGTAGCAAATAAAATTGCTGAACCCCTCTCAGATATAATTAATAAATGTTTTGAATGTGGTATTTTCCCGGAAAAATTGAAATACTCTCATATTACACCGATATACAAAAAAGGGGCTAGAACCGATATAAATAACTACCGCCCAATATCTGTTTTAAGTAATTTTTCAAAGATATTTGAAAAAGTTATCAATTTCCGGCTAGTAAACTATTTTAACAGCAATGATTTGTTTTATGAAAAACAGTTTGGGTTTAGAAAGACATTCAGCACCAACAGTGCACTGATTGAATTTATCAATGATGTTACAAAGGCTTTGGACAGGTCTGAAACTACTGCTGGTGTTTTCTGTGACCTGTCTAAAGCCTTTGATTGTGTGGATCATTCAATTTTGCTTTCTAAATTAAAAGACTATGGTATAAAGGGTAAAAGTTTTTCTTTATTAGACTCTTATTTACAGAACAGAAAGTATAGAACAATAGTGACCAAAAACGGTGTGAAACATATGTCAAACTGGAATTTATCTAATTATGGTTTACCTCAAGGGTCAATATTGGGCCCTCTGTTTTTCCTGATTTTTATTAATGACCTTCCAAAAGCTATTGGCAGAGATTTAATCTTATTTGCTGATGATACAACAGCAATCATAAGAGAGGATTCAGTAAATAACTTAATTGTATCAATAGAAAACACTTTGGATTGTATGAAAAATTGGTTTACAGATAATGGTTTAAAGCTGAATATTGATAAAACTCATATAATTAAATGTTCTTTAAAAAACAATGTAATTCTTGATAAAATTCCAAATTTAGTAGAATCTCATAGATTTTTGGGTGTATTGCTTGATACTCATATTAATTGGAAGATTCACATAGATAAGATGAAAGGCAAACTAAGATCTATTTCTTTTGCTTTCTTTCACCTGATAAACTGTGTACCTCAGGATACATGTATCACAGTTTACTATGGATACGTTGAATCCATCTTGAGGTATGGAATCATACTGTGGGGAGTGTCAAACAGAAGTTAAATCCCTACTAATTTTACAGAAAAAAATTATTAGAATCTTAACCAAATCAAGAAGGAGAAAATCATGTAAAAACCTGTTTAAAAGTCTTAGAATTCACACCATTTTTGGATTATACATAAATGAAATTCTAAATTGGATACATAACACTAAGGAAAATTTGTCAGATGTAGTCAAATTTACACATAATTATAATACAAGGAATAAATATAATTTCAGATTACCACATCACAAATTGACGACTTTTAGGAACAGCCCTCAATATATGGTACTTAGATTGTACAATGAATTACCCCTGTATCTTAAAACTTTAAATGCTACTCAATTCAAAGATAAAATAAAAGATAAAATAATTGAGAAAGCCTACTATTCACTTGACGAATTTTTGGAGAACCCTATAATGTAGATAAAAATTCTCTGATATCCTACATGAGTTTATTTTAATTATTTTAACTATTAATTTTACTATAAAATACATCACTATGACGAAACACCTGTTCTTATGTATGAAATGTACTTTATAAAGAACGTATTGTGTAAATAAAATATGTCTTATGTCTTATGTCAAAACTATTTCAATGTCGAGGCTGTGAACTGAGGACCGTTGTCGCTTACAATCATCTTTGGTAAACCCAGTCTTGAAAATATATCTTCTAAAATTGCAATAGTTTTATCCGTTGTCATTTTTGCTGTCGGACAAACCTCCAGCCACTTTGTGGTAGCATCCACAACAACCAACCAATAGTGTCCATCATAAGGTCCAGCATAGTCTATGTGTATTCGAGACCATGGGTTTTGTGGCACGGTCCAAGAAAACAACGGAAGTTCTGGTTCTTTGTAAGTTTTTGACAATCTCTGCACCTGTGGACGAATTGTTCAATTTCAGAGTCCATTCTGGGCCACCATACATAGAACCTAGCATATGAACACATACTTACAATTCCTGGATGTCCTTCATGTAATATTTTTAGAACCACGTGACGTAATTTTCTGGGGATGACAATTCGACCTTTCCAGAGCATCAGTCCTTCTTCAAAGTGTAATTCCTCTCTCTTGTCATAGTAGGGGTGTTCCTCAGTTGTCAAAATTTTCTTCTCGGGCCATCCATTTTTCATTCGCTTTAATGTGTTCTGGATTTCAAGATCAGCTGCAGTTCGCTCTCGCAAAAATTTGACAGATATATGGAGATCTTCAAGACGTAGTTGGAGGACTTGGTTTCCAAACTCTTCATTTCTAGCTTGGATTTCTTTAGCCTTGACAGGTATTCTTGAAAGAACATCGGCTGGAGCATGGTTTCTACCTTCATTGTGTTTTATTTCATAGTCAAAAGCACCCAGTATCACTGCCCACCTTGTTAATCTGTCACCGGTTATTCTGGGAAGCTCCGAGTTTTCTCCCAGGATATGTATAAGAGGCTTATGATCTGTTCGAAGAACAAAATGTCGAGCATAGATATAGTTGTAAAACTTGCTAACAGCAAAAATGATACCCAGAGCCTCTTTGTCTATTGAATATTTCCTCTCCGCTGGCTGTAACACGCGTGATGCAAAACAAACTGGACGAATGGATCCATCTGGAAATTGATGACTTAGGACTGCGCCTAAACCTTTGTCACTGGCATCAGAGTCAACAATGATGGGTAAATTCGGATCAAAATGTACTAGGGTATCCGAGGATGTCAAAATTCTTTTAAGCTGCTCGTAGCGCCACAATGTAAAATCACTAATAAAATATAAAAACTCAGGAACATTAAAAAACCATTGTATTTAGCTCAGCATCATAAAAACAATACAAAACAAAAATAGTACACACACTTATTTTAAAGTCAGCTGATAAATAAAATTTACAAAGAGTAATCCAAGACATTACACTTTAGATATTTAAGTTTTGGTTTTGCCACATCGACAATGTGATGTATACTTACTGAATGAGTTTTTGGAGGTGGAGTTGAAGGTCGTTTTGAGGAAATAGATGGTTTGACTGAAACAAAGGGTAAGGAGCATGTACAAATTACTCATAACATAATGTAGCCTAAAATAATATGCAATGCAGTAATTAGTACTGTTATGCTACAAAATAGTTCTTCTTATATATAGGTACAAATGCAGATTTATTTGCTAAGCTATTATTCTTAAAAAGACTGGTTTATTTATTGTTTAAATATAGGATGGAGAGCCAAAGTTATCACTAGCTAGTTGCTTGACTTATGATAAAGAAGTTATTCCAACCATGAAATTAATAATGTTTAAATGTTGTTTGAAGGTTCTTTTATATTTTGTAAAAATCAAATCACAGTGATATGCCATAAAAACCAAAGAAAACACTTTATCTGTAGCCAAACAAAATTATTCGTCTTTTATTTGTTTGCATCTTAAAGAATTAAATGCAAACTGTGGTCCTCTCACATAGGCCTATAGCTCAATGATTAACTTAATTTTATCATGTGCTTTAAATGTATGTTGTGAGTTTTATAATGAAAAGTGTGTTTTTTGTCCCATTAATCTTCTGTTGAGTAGAAGATGTAGAACAGTAAAAAAGAATAATAATAAGCCCGCACTCTCACTAGGTTACAGCCACCATGTCGCAACCACCCGTCAGCCACTTGAACTGTAAAATTGTATCGGGACTTAAAATTAAGGAGCCTTCACACTATTGGGTCGCAGCAACCCACCTCGGTGGCAGCGAACTGGTCACCAAGGAACTACGTCACTGGACGGTGGCTACCACCGTTATTTTTTTAGCGACTCAACTCGTAGCGGGCCAATGTAAAATTCCTGGTCCTTCACATAAGGTAGATCAGACCTAGCTTTCGGATATGCGCGCACAGCTTGCTTTCTCGTCTGACTGCCATCCCTGTATACCTGTTCGCAACCAATGTCTACTTGTTTGAAGCTGCACAGAACATGGGGTAAAAAGGAAAAAAAAACAAGAAATTCAATGTTCCATCCTAGTGAATGAATCATAGGTTACAAAACAGAGAACATTATTATTATTATTATTATTATTATTATTATTATTATTATTCTTTGTCATGAGAGCCGAAGCCCCCTGACTACGTACCCGGTACCTGTCGTGAGACTTAACCCGGGCCCCATGATGTAGGCCGAAGCTTACGCATCAACCTTTAGCACATCATGGGCGGATGACTTAAGGTCATCAGGCTCGCCGGCTGCCAAAGCAGACCCTTCGGAAAGAGGGTTGCCCCTCAATCCTAACCAGGGATTCCGGCTGCTTGTTTAAGCGTCACTCCACCTGGGTTCCACTAGGTCGGAACCTAGAGGTCCATAATGGAGCGCCCCGACGCATTTAGTGCAAGCAACACTCGGGACCTATCTAATCCCTGACAGGCAAGCCCGCCATCAATAGCCAGAAGGAAGGGGACCGTCAGCACGCTGACACACACAAAACATAGAACAGCACTTTTTTAGCGGGAAGGTCTCAGCCACTGGGTGGCAACCACCATGTGTGAAGAAAAAGCGTGGCAGTAACTTGTACAGGACGGCCGCTGCCACCGAGTGGCAGCGACCCTAATGAGATGGTGGCCAAAGGTAATAAAGTAATTGAGGTTTAATCATATTTTTTACAAATAAAACTTATGGTTACCACTATTTTGTGAAGATAGCAAATGCACTTTGACTTAAAACTAAATTATGCATCATAGGCCTCCTTGAGATAGGATATCCTGTTGCTTTATAATAATAGTGAGGAACGTTCTTCAGCTTTTTGGTAATAGGTGACATTACAGAGATGTAAGATACAGAGGAAACGTCTAATGGTAGGCCTACATTTAAGTGGACCTAGCACTATTTGCTGTTGTCAAAGGGAAATACAACACTGGCTCCCTCGCCCTCAAGTACTACAACCCTCACGGTGTATTAATGCTGTGTCCTGTGCTATAGGAATATCCAAAAGTGCTGGCCGCTCGTGTTCTTCCTTACTCGTCACAAGTATCCTTCAGACACTACAATAGGTAACTTACTGGAGCTAAAAAGCGCATGGTCTTCCACTTCCCATAAGCAAATTTCCTCTGTCTGTATACTGCCAGCATTATTTCACTTGCTCATTTTAACAGTTCAGATGACTTTGGAAAATGATTTTGTATCCTCACTAGTCCCAGTAGGCCTAATCATTACCAAGGTACTAGGATACAATTCAAAATTTCTACAATTGACAGATCAACTATAGTACGTACAAAATTTGTGATAAATTTAGAGTTTCCTTTATTTTTTCGTAAATAAGCTTTCTGTTAATAGGAAGACAGGATCGGCATTATTTCAATCTATTACCAAAGTAATTATTATGTGACTCAATAATAGTATAAATTATCATAATAGAAAATATAATGCCCACCTCTACTTGTAACAGTAGCAGGTACTTCGGTTGGCAAGATTCGTGAGACATCTGGGGAATCCGTTCTTGCAGATTTGTCATGGGTAGGTGTGGATGCCTTTCTTGATAAGGGAGGAGGTCTTGAGCTGTAAAACATAATGACATAATGACATAGTGACATAATGACTTGATGCATTCAAAACATTAGAATGATGAGTGGACAATTATAATGAAACTATATTATACTGTAGCCTACTGCATAATATACGGTAATCACTAGGAGTTCTCTGTTACCAACTCCTTCATGACCTATGTCAATCATATCGGCCTAGACGACTTGTCAGACAGTTTCAACATGAAAAAGTATAGGCTCATCAATTAAAAAAAAAACATAAGATAGGCCTACGTAGTGATAAGCTAATCATTAGTTTCACCTTCATCTGAAGGTTATAGCTTACCATACTGGTACGAGGGTTACTAGCCTACATAACAAAATTTATGACATGTTTGAAAATGTGAAAGATTTATGGTTAGGCTATTTGATATTTTATTGTTTAGCCTAAGTTAACCCTTTGAGTGCCAACGTCCGGGGAACCGGACGTTTTTAAAACGAGCCAAAAGTGCCGACGTCCGGCCGACCGGACGTTTTTAGAACGAGCCAAAAGTGCCAACATCCGGCTGACCGGACGTTTCGTAATGATCGAACAGTTGTCATAACAACCGAATGGATACTCGGATTCTTTTAACCCATATATTAACATTGAGTCGAAAGTTACTAGATGCGATACATCGATTTTCGTTGGTCGAAATATCGAAAATTCGATTTTTACGAAATTTTAACCTAAAAATCGCCAGATCGTGCTCGGCATTTTTAGCGTGACCTTCGGGAAAAATCATCGGCATTTTTCGAGCGTTACTTTTATTTCTCGCCTGGCACTCTAAGGGTTAAATAATTTTTATTAACAAGAATAAGGGAATATGTTTCATAGAACTCGCCCAAAATATGTTTGGACTAAACAGTTTTTTGAGCGGAGCGAGCGAAGCTCTTATACGTCGACTTTTATGCATTTCGTAATACGCAAACTCCTCCTAGACGGGTGAATCAATCGTTTTCAAATTTTGCATGGTGATAAAGACCATACCGGTGAGTGCCAACATCTATATGGCGTTAAAAAAGTCTCTCGGGAATCCGCCCCACTGGGTCTCAAAGTTTCAATGTAATCCTTATGGAAGCAGTATTTGACACATAAACAAAAACATATGATCAGCTGTTGACTTTTGAATGCAGTAAATGAATAAATAGCTGATGGCATTATTCCACAGATATTAGAACATAAACCGTGGTATGGATAATAAATATAATCAAATGACGACACTAGCTTGAGGTCCGTGACGTAGGAAGTGGTGAAGGAAGTAGTCAAGGCGAGCTGTCCGGAGTGTGGGAACTGTTTATGACAATAAGATTAAGGTATCTGCAATCCTAAAATGCTATTGGAAGGGAAGGAAATAGGTCTGCGAAGTACTGTTTATGACGATTAGATTAAGGTATCTGCATTCCTTAAATTCTATGGGAAGGGAGGAAAACGGGTCCGCGACGTAGGAAGTGGTGAAGGAAGTAGTCAAGGTGAGCTGTCCGGAGTGTGGAAACTGTTTATGACGATTAGATTTAGGTATCTGCATTCCTAAAATTCTATGGGAAGGGAGGAAAACGGGTCCGAGACGTAGGAAGTGGTGAAGGAAGTAGTCAAGGCAAGCTGTCCGTAGTGTGGGAACTGTTTATGACAATTAGGTTAAGGTATCTTCAATCCTAAAATGCTATTGGAAGGGAAGGAAACGGGTCCGCGACGTAGGAAGTGGTGATGGAAGTAGTAAAGGCGAGATGTTCAGGGTATGGGATCTGTCTATGATCATTAGATTAAGGTATTTGCAATCCTAAAATGCTATGGGAAGGGAGGAAAGCAGGTCCGCGACGTAGGAAGTGGTGAAGGAAGTAGTCAAGGTAAGCTTTCTGGAGTGTGGAAACTTTTTATGACGATTCGATATAGGTATCTGCATTCCTAAAATTCTATGGGAAGGGAGGAAAACGGGTCCGCGACCTAGGAAGTGGTGAAGGAAGTAGTCAAGGCGAGCTGTCCTTAGTGTGGAAACTGTTTATGACCATTAGATTAAGGTATCTACAATCCTAAAATGCTATGGAAAGGGAGGAAAACAGGTCCGTGATGTACGAAGTGGCGAAGGACGTAGTAAACACGATATGTTCGGGGTATGGGATCTGTTTATGACCATTAGATTTAGGTATTTGCAATCCTAAAATGCTATGGGAAGGAAGGTAAACAGGTCCGTGACGTAGGAAGTGATGAATGAAGCAGTAAAGGCGAGTTTTTCGGAGTGTGGGAACTGTTTATGACGATTAGATTAAGGTATCTGCAATCCTAAAATGCTATGGAAAGGGAGAAAAACAGGTCCGCGACGTAGGCAGTGGTGAGGGAAGCAGTAAAGGCGAGTTTTTCGGAGTGTGGGAACTGTTTATGACGATTAGATTAAGGTATCTGCAACCCTAAAATGCTATGGAAAGGGAGGGAAACAGGTCCGTGACGTAGGAAGTGGTGAAGTTAGTAGTAAAGGCGAGTTGTCCGGAGTGTGGGATCTGTATGACCAATAGATTAAGGTATTTGCAATCCAATAATGCTAAAGGGAAGGGAGGTAAACAGGTCCGTGACGTAGGAAGAGATGAAGGAAAGTAAAGGCGAGTTTTTCGGAGTGTGGGAACTGTTTATGACTATTAGATTAAGGTATCTTGGTATCTACAATCTTAAAATTCTATGGGAAGAGAGGGAAACAGGTCTGCGACGTAAGAAGAGGTGAAGGAAGTAGTAAGGTGAGCAGTGTGGAGTTTGGGAACTGGAAACCGTTTGTAGCAGTTAGATTAATGTATCTGCAATGCTGAATTGCTATGAGAAGGGATGGAAGCATGCCCACAAAATAGAAAATGGTGAAAGAAGTAGTAAAGTTTAGCAGTGCGGAGTGTGGGCAATGTTTGTGACAATTAGATTAACGTCTAATCTAAAATACTAAAATGCTATGAAAAGTGATGAAAACAGGTCCACGATGTAGGAAGTGGCTTAGGAAGTAATAAAGTATGGACATATTGTGAGAACCGTCTGTGGCAGTTAGATTAATTTATCTTCAATCCTAAAATGCTATGAGAAGGGAAGGAAACAGGCCCCACGACCTAGGAAGTGGTGAAGGAAGTAGTAAAGGCTGGCCGTGCAAAGTGAGGGAACCGTTTGGGCAGTTAGATAAATGTATCTAATACTTAAATGCTATGGTTAGAGAGGGAAACAGGTCCGCGACGTAGGGGGTGGTGAAGGAAGTAGTAAAGGTGGGCAGTGTTGAGTGTGGGGAAGGATTAATGTATCTGCAATGCTAAAATGCTATGGGAAGAGACTGGTTAAAATGATTATTAAGCACGAATCGTTACATATTTCGATACGTATTCAATCGTTTACAATAGAAATTTACAGCTGAGTTGACAACAGCTGTGTTTTACTCCATAGAGGCTAAAAACGAATTTTATTTCCTAAAGAGGAAAAATGCTACTTTAGACCCGGAACGCATGCATCAATGACGACTGTTTTTACTGCAGTATAACAAAAGCAATATAATATGAACCCTTGATGATTCCGCTCAATTTTGTGGATGCATCTGCGAACGCCACCTAGTAAGTAGGCTACAGGTAATCATTAGGACTACTTACCTTGGTCTGCCACTACGACTAGGATCACTAAAATTTGGAGCAATTGAATTTCGGATTTTACGACTTCCATCTGCAATTTGAGTGAGGGACTGAGGCGGTATTGTCTTAGTCGTCTTCTTTGCTGCTATAGTTTTCTTCATTTGTCTAAATTCCTTTATTATTCTTTAGCTACCTACTTTAACTGTAAACAGAATGAAAAATTGATTATTCTACTAGGCCTAGCTGAGTTAAGTTTGATTTAAAGTATCGTAGAGTAGCTTAATCAAATAGACCTAAGTAAGTTTGGTATTTCACCAGTAATTTGGTATTAAATTACCTAAATTAGTATTGAGCTTTTGTCAGGTAAAAGGTAAAATGGAACAAAGGTATATCAACCTACTACACGTAGCCTAGGCCTATGTAAAATTTGGTACCGTAATGATTAAACAGTTTTTACCAATTAACTTAGGCTACTCCTAATCGTATCACACCATGAAAGGTCCTATTTTGAAAGCTAGCTATCATAAACTGTAGACCTAAATCAATGTAGGGAAGTAGATGAAGGATGATCTGCTAAAGTAAATCTTACAATCTCAAACCAGCATTCAGCGGCAACATATTAACTAACCTTGAAATCCTTTTCAAAGAATGTTTTGTAGCGTACTTTATTGAGAATTATTCAATAACTTATCCACGGCAAAAACCTACTAAAACAACATTAATTCATAATTAACTACAGCAACGCTATTATACCAATAGAACTTCTACAAACAAACACAACACAATAATCCAACACCGACATACATAACATAAACAAAACAAAACAAGTTTTTTTGATTGAACGACGTTTGGTTTTTTTTGTTGTTTTGAACTTTGAAGTTTACCAGTAGTACGACCGGTGGGGCACACGGGAGGGACTAAGGCTAACATCTTGTAGTGTCAGCGTTCGCCGCTAGAACTGCTAAGTTGAAAAAATTTAAATTATTTTTTTTTATTTTTAGTTATAAAATTAACTTTTTAATTATAAAATAGTAAATTATAAAATAAATTTTTAATTTTTAAAATTAAACTGTCATAACATAACCTAACCAACCAGACTTGCTGATAATATAAAAACTACACAAGATAAAATTCTAATTAATGATTACTTATAATTTGTTATTAATTATAAAATTAATTTTAAAATTTATTATTATAAAATTAACTGTCATAACCTAACCTAACCAACCAAACTTGCTGATATGAAAAATTGTTTGACAAAAAGTTAGTGCCGCCAGCGGGATTCGAACCCGGGACCTCCTGAACACTAACCCGAAACGCTACCAACTATGCCACGAACGCCGCTGAAATCACATCGTTTCGTTACGGTAATCGTGTCGCCTCAAGAGAAGGCATTAGCCACTAGAGATATGACGTCACTACACCTTTAGCCTTAGTCCCTGCCGTGTGTCCATTCCGTAGTACGACGATCTTAAAATTTTCTGCAGACTGCTTACAAAAGTTTCAATCAACAAAAGGGTATTTACTCAGGGGAGGTATAGAAGAGGCTACGATGCCAGCTGGTGGGCTTCTTATTAGCTGAGGGAACGCCATTTCCGTAACAAAACGATTTGTAGCCATCGGCCTCGATGGTCTAATGGTTAGAGTGCCGGGCTGACGTGCTGAAGGTCCCGGGATCGAATCCCGCTGGTAGCATTAACTTTTTGTCCAAGATTTTTTTTATTATCAGCAAGTTTGGTTGGTTTGGTTCGGTTATGACAGTTTTATTTTATTATGAAGTCATTATAAATTTTAATTGAGCGATTTCTAGTTTTATTTAATAAACAGAATTATTTTTTTCTATTACAAAACTTTTGTTATATTATTTCATTATCAGCAAGTTTGGTTAGTTCGGTTAGGTTATGATAGTTTAATTTTATAATTTAAAAAATAATAAAATTGAATTTGCATTTATAATTTTATTTTATGAACAGAACAAACTATTTTTGCGATTAGTAAACCTTCATTGCCAAAGTGCTCTCTACTACAACGCTGTTCACGGAGGAATTTTGAACTAAATGCCTCATTCGTACCTCCCCTAAGTCAGACCCCAACAAAAGGCACAATCAAGTAACCATGCAGCGGCGAAATGTGTTAATTATATACAGGGTTAGTAAAAAGTGTGGAGACCACCTGTTATTTTTTTACGGCCTATAGGTACGGGACTGACTATTTTGTTGACCCGGGTCAACAAATTCAATATATTTAGAAAAAAAAACCACTTGGAATGTAGATATTTACATGAAATTTGGAACGAAGGTATATCCACATGTATTCTACACGTATGTTAAATTTGGTAACGATTAAAAAATATTTACCTACTTTATTAACAAAAAACTGCCGTAAAAAGCTAATTTCATTTTGTTGACCCGGGTCAATCGCCAATAAAAGGTACTTAGAATTAAACTATATACATGAAACTTGGAAAGAAGGTATATCTACATTTATTCTACACGTATGTAACATTTGGTAACGAAACGATTAAAAAATATTTACCTATTTTATTAACTAAAAACCGCCCAAAATAGCTCATTTATTTTGTTGACCCGGGTCAATCGTTAGGCGATTAGGTACTTGGAATTAAAGTATATACATGAAACTTGGAAATAAGGTGTATCTACATGTATTCTACATGTATGTAAAAATTGGTAACGATTAAAAAATAATTACCTATTTTATTAACAAAAACCGCCCAAAAAAGTTAATTTTATTTTGTTGACCCCAGTCAATCACCTAAAAAAGGTACTTAGAATTAAACTAAATACATGAAACTTGGAAAAGAGGTATATCTACTTGTATTCTACACGTATGTAAAAATTGGTAACGATTAAAAAATATTTACCTATTTTATTAACAAAAAACCGCTCAAAATAGTTAATTTTATTTTGTTGACCCGAGTCAATCGCCTAAAAAAGGTACTTAGAATTAAACTATATACATGAAACTTGGAAAGAAGGTATATTTACATTTATATTACACGTATGTAACATTTGGTAGCGATTAAAAAATATTTACCTATTTTATTAACTAAAAACCACCCAAAATAGCTCATTTATTTTGTTGACCCGGGTCAATCGCCTAAAAAAGGTACTTAGAATTAAACTATATACATGAAACTTGGAAATAAAGTATATCTACATGTATTCTACACGTATGTAAAAATTGGTAACGATTAAAAAATATTTACCTATTTTATTAACAAAAACCGCCCCAAAAAAGTTAATTTTATTTTGTTGACCCGAGTCAATTACCTAAAAAAGGTATTTAGAATTAAACTATATACATGAAACTTGGAAATAAGGTATATCTACATGTATTCTACACGTATGTAAAAATTGGTAACGATTAAAAAATATTTATCTATTTTATTAACAAAAAATGCCCAAAAAAGTTAATTTTATTTTGTTGACCCGAGTCAATCATCTAAAAAAGGTAATTAGAATTAAACTATATACATGAAACTTGGAAATAAGGTATATCTACATGTATTCTACACGTATGTAAAAATTGGTAACGATTAAAAAATATTTACCTATTTTATTAACAAAAAACCGCTCAAAATAGTTAATTCTATTCTGTTGACCCGAGTCGATCGCCTAAAAAAGGTACTTAGAATTAGAGTACAGTATATACATGAAACTTGGAACGAAGTTATATCCACTTGTATTCTAAACGTATGTTAAATTTGGTAATGATTAAAAAATATTTACCTATTTTATTAACAAAAAACTGCCGTAAAAAGCTAATTTCATTTTGTTGACCCGAGTCAATCACCTAAAAAAGGTACTTAGAATTAAAGTATATACATGAAACTTGAAACGAAGCTATATCTACATGTATTCTACACGTATGTTAAATTTGGTAATGATTAAAAATATTTACCTATGTTATTAACAAATAACTGCCGTAAAAAGCTAATTTCATTTTGTTGACCCGGGTCAATCGCCAATAAAAGGTACTTAGAATTAAACTATATACATGAAACTTGGAAAGAAGGTATATATACATGTATTCTACACGTATGTAACATTTGGTAACGATAAAAAAATATTTACCTATTTTTATGTTTAAAGGTTTATGTATATAGTTTAATTCTAAGTACCTTTTTAAGGAGATTGACTCGGGTCAACAAAATTAAATGACATATTTTTGGTGGTTTTTTGTTAATAAAAAAGGTAAATATTTATTAATTGTAACCAAATTTTATATACGTGTAGAATACATGTTTATATACCTTCGTTCCAAGTTTCATGTATATAGTTTAATTCTAAGTACAGTACCTTTTATTGGCGATTGACCCGGGTCAACAAAATTAAATTAGCTTTTTACGGCAGTTTTTTGTTAATAAAATAGGTAAATATTTTTTAATCGTTACCAAATTTAACATACATGTGGATATAACTTCGCTCCAAGTTTCATGTATATAGTTTAATTCTAAATACCCTTTTAAGGTGATTGACTCGGGTCAACAAAATTAAATTAAATATTTTTGGTGGTTTTTTGTTTAAAAAAAGGTAAATATTTATTAATTGTTACCAAATTTTATATACGTGTAGAATGCATGTAGATATACCTTCGTTCCAAGTTTCATGTATATAGTTTGATTATAAGTACCCTTTATTGGCGATTGACCTGGTTCAATAAAATGAAATTAGCTTTTTACGGCAGTGTTATGTTAATAAAATAGGTAAATATTTATTAATTGTTACCAAATTTTATATACGTGTAGAATGCATGTAGATATACCTTCGTTCCAAGTTTCATGTATATAGTTTGATTATAAGTACCCTTTATTGGCGAATGACCCGGGTCAACAAAATGAAATTAGCTTTTACGGCAGTTTTCTGTTAATAAAATAGGTAATTATTTTTTAATCGTTACCAAATTTAACATACGTGTAGAATACATGTGGATATATCTTCGTTCCAAGTTTCATGTATATAGTTTAGTTCTAAGTACCTTTTTTAGGCGATTGACCCGGGTCAACAAAATAAAATGAGCTATTTTGGGTGGTTTTTAGTTAAAATAGCCTAGGTTACTATTTTTTAATTGTTACCAAATTTAACATACGTGTAGAATACATGTGGATATACCTTCGTTCCAAGTTTCATGTAAATATCTACATTCCAAGTGGGTTTTTTTTTAAATATATTGAATTTGTTGACCCGGGTCAACAAAATAGGGAGTCCCTATAGGTACTAGAAAAACTAAACTCGGCACACCATTATGACATGTTATGAAGTACTTTTACTGAAGTACTTTACAAGTGGGCATAACCGCCACTTGGTGTTCATCCCCAAAATGGGGGATTTTGGGGAAACTTAAAAAATTTCAAATACAAAGACCCATCGAGTGACCCCTCATTTTGAAGGTCCTGGTAACAGAAACCCAACAACGCAAACTAGAGGTCTCTATCTCAGTTCAGTACAAAATGGCAGCCAAATTGAAATTCTCATAAGTTCCCAAACCCAAAATGGGGGATTTTGGGGGAAACTCAAAAATTTTAAATGATAAGCCCCATTGAGTGACCCTTCATTTTGAAGGTCATAATAAAAGAAAACTAACAACGCAAACTATAGGTCTCTATCTTAACACAGTAAAATATGGCAGCCAATTGAATATAAAATTGCATAATTCAGTTAATTTGTGTTTTTACCAGGAAAGTTTTGGGGTAGTTTTGATTTTTTCCATTTCTTATGTATTTTGGGGTGCTGAATCCGAATCTGAGGTTTGCCAACAAAAATTCTTGACGCAACATTGACAAAAATGAGAAAAAT